ATCCTCAAACCTTACCTTTCCTTTTTCCCCATTTTTTAATTTTCTTTTTTTGGGCAACACCCCCCCAAAATTAAATCCCCCAAATTCTCCCAATTTTTCCTCTTCAAAAAACCCTCCCAATTTTCCCACAGCGTCATCCCAAAGAGAAAACTGTGAAAACTCCCATTTTGGGGTGACATCACACACCCTTTGTCTAAGGCCTATTTTTAAATTTGGGAAATAATTTCCCTCTTTCCTACATACTCTAACTTGAGCTTCAAAACCTCGAAAAAACTCTTCACTGTTTTCCCAGTAACCTACCCCCCTAAAACCAAAAAACCTGAAACCCATCTGCCACATTGCCCCCTTTTTCCACCCTGTCATACGCCTTTTCCAAATCCATAAATCCCCACAAAGACCCCCTTTACCTTTATCTAAATACTGTTCACTTATATTTTTTCACAAAAAAACACCGGGTTCAAAACCCCCCTCCCTTTTTCCTAAAGCCTCCTTGTTCACTCAATCCTATTCTCCGTCTTACTCTTAATTTTTTCAATAATAACCCCTACCAATCCACTTTCCCAAAGAAAATACTAAACGGGCTTATCCCCCAAATTTTTTTTGAAACTCTCTTTTGTCCCCTTTCCCTTTTTTAAAAAAGGGAACAGGGCATTTTTCTCTCCCAAATCCCTGGGTACCTTCCCCTTCCATACATTTATTAAAAAATTGCCCCAAACCCAAACCCCAAAAAACTAAATCCCCACCTGTTTTTTAAACATTTCAAAACCCTTTAATAATTTTCCCGGCTGCCTTACCCCCCTTTCTTTTTTAACCTACTGCCTCACGAATTTCCCCCCACTAAAACCCTGGCTCTTTCCCACCCCTTTACAAAAATGTTTTTTCCCCCTTTGGGCCCATACACGAAAATATATATATTTTAATATATATATATATATAAATATATATTTTATATATATATATATAAATATATATATATATATATATATACAACATATATATTTATATAATAAAATTTTAAAATATATATTAAATAAATATATATTATATATATATATATAGGGTATTTTAGGTATTTAAGGTTGGTAGACAGAAAACCACCCAGGGAAGTCCCTACCGCCCTTTCCAGATGACTGAAAAACAGAACCTTAACTGTTTTGCATAGGGGTTAGGATTGCGGGTTTTTTTTTCTGTCTCAAAAACACCTAGATAACAGGGATACCCTTGCTACTCCAACTTACCTTTGTTCACATTTCACAGCCCACGCACATGCAAAATTAAAACATACATCTAGGTTTTTTTTTCCTTTTTTTCAAAATAGCTCTTGTTCTTTTTTAAATTTCTTCTTTTGTCCCATAGAAAGGGAAAAAAATTTTCTTTCCCCTTTAGCCATGCGGGGCGTATGAGGCGACTAAAATCCCCGGGAGAAATGGGCTGGTAACCCTTCTCCTTTAAACATTTACTAAAAAAGAGAAAAAAACTTTAAAAAACGGGGATGTTTAAATTGTGCGGGGTGAAGTGCGGATGCCAAGAAACAGATGATTGCTGAGTTATGAATAAAAGAAGTTGGATGTCCGGCTCTAAGCGAAACAAAGTTGAAGGGGGTGGGGGAGTTTCGGGGGGAAAAAAGGGGAAATTAAATCTGGATTATCGAGAATTTTAGAAAAAAGGGAAGGGGTAGCAGTAATGTTGAAGGCCCCAGTTAGGGAAGGGAAAAAAGGGAGAATAAGGAAAAAGTTTGGTTAAATTTTCAAGGGGAAATTATGTGGAAAAATTAAAAGGGGGGTTTAATTTAAGGTTAGGGGCCGAAAGTGGGTTTTTAATTTAAAGGGGCCGGGGTTGTAAGGGGGGGCCAACCCCTTGGAAAAGAAAAAGGGGAATTTTTGGTAATAAAAAAAAAGAGGGAAAAAAAAGATTTTTTGGGAAAGATTTTTAAAAAAAGGTTTGAAAGGTTATAGGGGGGCCCTTTAAACCAATTTGAGAAGGGGAAAAAGGTGGAAAAAGGGGGATCGGGGGGGGGCTAAAAAAAGGGGGAGAAAAAAACCTTTTAGAGAGGGGGGGTGGAAAAAGGGGGTAAAAGTTTGGGGGGGCCCCGGGGGTTTTTTTCAAAATGATAAAGGGACCCCTTTAAATTGAAACTTTTGGGAGTTTATAGAAATTTTTTAAAAGGTAAAATTTTTAAGGGAAAAAGGGGTAATGGAAAAAAAAAGGGGGGAAAAAAAGTGGTTTTTGAAATTTTTGGTAAAAAAGACTGAGAGATGGTGAATTTTTATAACCACAGGAAAATAAGAAAATTTTATTTGAGTTAACAAAAAAAAAGGGGAAGTGGGAACAAGGAGAATTAAAAATAGGGGGGAAAAGGGGAGAATTTAAATAAAAGGAGGAAGGAAAGGGTTGGGGGGGGAAATTTTTAAAAGAAAATTTTGTTGTTTAAAAGGATGGGTGGCTTGAGGATGGGGGCAAGGGGGAAATAAATTTTAAGTAGGAAGCCCGGGTTTGTTTGGGGGGGGGGGGGGGGGTTCTGGGGAATTTTGGTTTTTAAAAAAAGGAAAGGGGGCCGGGAGGGAAGGGAAAAGTAAAAATGTTAAAACAGGGTGGGAAAAAAATTTTGGGAAAAGTTTTTTTTAAAAAGTAAATGTAAGGGAAAGGAAAAGTTTGGGAGGAAAGAGAGGGGTGAAGTTTTTTGAAAAGCAAGGAAAAAAGAGGGGGAAAAAATTTAAGGGGGTGGTTGAAGTTACCCCAAATTTTTAAATGAAAAAGTTTTATTGAAAAAATTAAAATTTAAAAACCGAGAAAAGGTTTTGCAAAAAATTGGAAAGGAGGTTTTAAAAGGGGAAAAGGGTAGGGGTGGTAAGGTTTTAAATTTTGAAAATAAAAGTTTTTTCGTTTTATATAGGGGAAAAATCTTTGGGGGGAAAAACCATTTAGGGGGGGAATTTTTTGGAAAAGGAAAATAAAAGGGGGAAAAGGGGGCCCCAAGGGGTTAAAAATGTTGCAGGGGGGGTATTTTTTGGGGGTTTTTGGTTTTTTTTGAAAGAGGGGAAGGGGTTTTTCCCAGGTTTGGAGGCTAAAAGTTGGATAAAGGAAAGGGGAAAAAGAAAAGTGGCCCCAAAAATTTGGATGTCCCTTTTTTTAATATATTTAAAAGGGTTTTTTTGGGGGTTTTTTTAAGAGAAAAAGGAAAAGGGGAGGGTCCGGGGAAAAAAAGGGAGGCGGGGTTTTAAAAGGGGTAAAAAAAAAAAAAGGGGTTTTTCCCCAGTGTTTTGTAAAACATTTTTTGGGAGATTTGAAAGGAAAAATTTTGGGATTTTGGTTTTGGAAAAGGAGGGTTGCAAAAGGGGAAAATTAAAAGGGGAAAACGGAAAGGAGTAAGGGTTTTTGGAGGATAACCAAAAAGTTTAATGGGGAAAGAGGAAATAATTTTCCCGAAAAGAGGGTAGGAAAAGGAGGTAAATTTTAATTTTAAATATTTGGGGGTTTAAAAGGGTTTTAAGGGGGGTTTGGGACTATTAAAAAAAAAAGGTACCAAAAAGGGATTGTGAGGGAAAAGGTGAAAAAAGTGCCTTGGAGTTCTGGGAGAAAAGAAGGTTTTTGTTTTTGGAGGCAAAAAAAGTTAAAAGTAATCGGGGAAAAGTTTAAAGTCAAAAATTGGGTGTAAAAATTTGGGTATAATTTGGGAGGGAGAAATGGGGGAAGGGGGAGAACCCAAATTTTGGGAATTTGGGGTGGGTTTGAAAATATTGGGGGAAAATTTCTAGTTGTAAGGGGAAAAGGGGGGGGCGATTAAACCAAAAAGTTTTTCCAAAGGGGGAAAAGGGGGGAATTTTGGGTTTTTTGAAGGGGGGTTTTGGAATCAGGTGGAGAATTTTTAGCGAAAAAAGGTTTCAAGGAGTTTCAGCCCTGAGGGGGAAGGGGGGAAAAAGGGGTTTCGGTGGGAAAGGTTTGGGGGAGGGGGGTTAAAAGGTTTTGGGGGGGAAAAGGGGTTGTTAGGTGGTACCGGTTTGAAGGAGTTAATGGGGGACAAAGGGGATTTTATAAACGGGAGGGGTCCCCCGGGGGTTGGAGGGGGGGAAAGGAATTTTTTGTGGATTCGGGACCCGGCGGGCCCAAATTTTTATTGGGGGATGGGAAAAAAATTTTTTTAAACTTGAGGGGTGTTAAGTTGAGAAAATTAAAAAAGGGCAGGAAAGCACCCTTTTGGCCGGGGGAAAGGGGGAGGGAGGGGGAAGGGAGAAAACGGGGAAAAGGGCCCCCGGGGAAAAGACAGTGATGGATTGAATAAAGGTGAAAGTTTTTCTTTTTTGGGCCACCCTCCCTTGGGGGAATGGGCCAGGGGGATAATAAAAAAATAATATATATAAAAAATATATATATATATTATTAGATATTATATATATAAAATTATATATATATAAATAAATATATATATATAATATATGTAATAAAATATATAATATATATAATATTTTATAAAATAAATAAATTATAAAAAAAACAGTTTCCCCTTTGTCAATGACTTTGTTTTCCCTTTTGCGTAATTTCCAAAAAAAAAACTCCCCTTTGTTTTAAATACTTGCCTGAAATGGCCCACAAGAAAATCTATTTTTTCCCTCTGATTTATCTGGGGGACAACAAAGAAAAACATGTTCAGAACAACCCCCTAAAAAATAACATTCCACTCTGCTTAAAAAAAAAACGTTCGACTTTTTAATACACGGGGCCCTTTTGACTTCTTTCCCCTGTGGGCATAATTCCCTTTTAAAATTAAAACCTTTTTTCTGGTCCCAAAATAAATTTATTTTTATTAAAAATGTGAACATTACAGCCCAAATTGATGAATAAGACATATTCATAAAATATAAAAGGGTTTCATTTTGGTAATACTCATCGAAACCGTTCATCATTCCAACTTTTTTCCTTTGGGTACCTCTGGTTACCAGGAAGCTCACCTTCCCTGATCAGTGCCCTCCCCCCGGACACCCCCAGGTTACCAGGGGCCCCACCTTCATCATCAGTAGCATCCACCTTTGGGCACCTCTGGATACCAGGAAACCTTTACCTTCAACAAACAGTTTGGGAAACCACCTGGGCACATCTGGATTTCCAGGAAAAATTTAAACCCTTTATCATCATTTCATCCCCCCTGGGCACCTCTGGATACCCGGAACCCCACGCCCTCCAGGTGCCCTTGGGGGCCCGCAAAAAGAATGGCTTTGCTGCCCCGAATTGGATTGGAATTTTACATTGGATATCACTAGTATGATAGAAATTTAAAAATTGTGTTATTAATTTCTGCAGTGTCCCCTAGTAGTATTAGTAAAAGCAACCCTTATTTTATTGTACCCTTTCTAAAAGCAATAGGGGGGGGTAAAAATTGCAGTGCAAATAGAAATAGCAGTGGAAAAAAAAGTGGGAGTGGGAATAGTAGAAATTTTTTAGTTTTTTTAAAGTAATTTGGGAGTAAAAAAAACAGTAATAGTGGCAGTAAAAATAGTAGTGGTAGGGGAAGTAGCAATGATATAGAATACCCGTGGGTTTTAGTGATGGAAAAGGTAGTAGTTTACTGCCGCAGTAACAAAAGGTATTAAAATTTTATTTTCACTAGTTAAAAAAGTGGTAAATACAAATTGTAATAGTAAAGTATAGTTTCCATGGAAATATGCTGTTTTTTATGGGTTCATTTTTTACGGTTTTTGGGGAACTTAGAGCACCTACCTAGTTGACCCCGCAATTGAAGTGACCTCAGAGTTCATCAGGGATCTCTTTAGACTCTTTCGCTGACCCCCTTGCTGCTGCCCCCTTTAGGAGTTTTAACTCCTGAGGGTCGGGCCTTTAAGCGCCAGGGAAATTAACATGGAGGAAGAGAGCCAAAAATTTTTGTAACCCTCTTGCTGGGGCCCCAAATCCCTTTTGGGAGTGAGGCCCCCCGGCGTCTTTTTGTTCAAGACTCACTCCGTTCTCCCACCAGCCACTTCGCAGCTTCCAGGTTGCCGTTAACCCGGGTTTCAAGGGGGCAAGCTGTTGCCTTTTTAAAACCCCGGGGGGGAGGGGTTTAATTTTTCAGCTTTTTGGTCCCCCCCCCCAGGTAAATGTAAGATTTTCTCGTGGCCTCCAATAGCTGCCCAGGGATCCCCTCTTCCCCCCCCCCAGAAAATTTAACAAACGTGTATACTTGAAATTAGCCATTAATTCTTTTCTTAAAATTTACCATTTAAAATGATTTCCCTTATTTTTGTGTATTGTACAGTTTTTAAATTCTAGTTTAAAATTTCTTTATACATACATGCTTTTTTGCATTTTCATCACTTAAAATTTTCTAATCAACTACTTTTAGTACCTGTAACGTGTTACTGTAAATTGTATTCTGAAATTTTTATAACTGTCTCTTTATCAAAAAGGGATTAAAATAGCAAGTCTTTCAAAAAACTGTCTTTAGTAAAACCAATAGCAAATATATTTTCATTATACACCAGGGGCCCTTAAAAAACCAGAGAGATGACATCATTGTATTTTTAAAAGTTACTAACAGAGACCTTGGGTACAGTAAAATGGGAATTTTGACATCCTTGGTACATATCCCGGAGGGCCCCACTGAGGATGGGGGGGGGCATACTAATTTTTCACAATTAGATGGAAATAAAACATCAGAAAACAGAGAAGAAATTGGAAAAATATAAATTTAAAACCCCTTTAATACCCCAATACAATAAAATTTATCAATTGGATTTTATACACAATTTTTTCCGCACATCAAAATAAAATGTTTTCGTCACAGCTCAAAATATAATTATCTTTAACCCCCCGCACAACAATCACCAAAGTTTCATTAATAGCTGATAACGTTATAATAACCTCGGCCAAAACGCATGGCCCTCAGGGATGAAAGGGGCCCGAGCGCCATGCACTCTGCCTCACAAATCCTCAACAAATAAACCCCCACGGACACCAAACATTTGCTGCGGTTTCAAACCCCAAAAAAGGGCCCCATGGAAACGCACCCAAAAAAGCGAGGAAAAATTTGAGAGGTGTTAATTTAACAAATGTAAGCCACGTCCAAGAAGATTGGAATTAAAAAATCCCAGGCCCCCTGAAATGAATTTTATTACAAAACCCAAAAATTTAAAAAATAGACAAATACCTGGGAAAAACCTTTTTTTTCCTTTTTTTTACACAAATAAATTTTTCAGGCTTTTTTTTAATTTTTTCCCACTCATTTCAAAACCCAGCTCTATCAGAGGTAAATTATTTTTCCCCCCCCGGTTAACCCCCAAAAGGGGGTTCAACCCGGTACCTACTTTCTGCAAGGGGAACGGGAAAAGCAGGGGTAAGGGGAAAAATACCGAAAGTTTTCCCCCCCGTAAACCGGGGATAGAACCCTTGACCTCCCCCCTTGTGAGCTGAGTGCGGGGTACCAACCGAGCTGCGAATCTTGTACCAACAAGGGGGGCCCGGGAAACCCGTGTCATATCTTCTTTTTAAATTCTGTCCGCCAAACATGAACATCCCCAAACCCTTTAAATTTTAAATCTAACCCAAACCCCTTTTTTTTGTTTTAGCTCTCTTCATTTTGTTTATAAACTTACGACGGGAATTTAAAAGTTTTATTACTTTGTCATAAGTACTCCCATGTGGGTTTTGAAATTTAAAAAATTTCCCGAGTTTTTGGGGGTTTTTTTTTTTTTTAAAACGTTGGGTTATTTTGTGGGGCGGGGCTTCTTTCGAGGCTGTTCTATATAACGCGATTTTTTTTTTTTTGGGGAATGAAAAATGAAAAACTTTAATTCCCCCGAACTGAACAGCCGGCACAGGAAAGCCAATTCATGTTTTTATTAAATTTTGGATGCATTTTTTTAACTGATTTACAAAAAAAAAAAACGGGACTTTATACAAAACTTTATAAAGAAATTAAAACGTATTAAAAAAAACTTTTTGCGGGGTGGTTTTTTAAACGTTTCGTTAATAATAACAGAAAATTTTTAAATCAAAAACAAAACTTTTGTTAAATTTGTAAAATGCTTATGTTCCGCGCAATGATACAAAATTTCCCAAAAAGGGGTTTAAAAATAAAAAAAAAAAGTACAAAGCCTTGTTTTTTTTTAGTTTTTCCCCTACCTTTAAATTTTATTTCAGAAACATGCGAAGTTATATATGAAATTAAACCGCAAAGACATACAAAACATACCACGGAATGTTTTGGGAAATATTTTTTTCAGTCAGAGTTTTTTCCCGGAATGGAATAAATCTGGAAAGTGAGGTAGGAGGCAGGTATCATACATATTTTTAAGAAAAGGTATAAAAAAACTCATTGGGCAGGGAAGAGAGGGCCCAGTGAAGACCAGGGAAGAGGGGGAACCAGGAGGCCATGAATCGACCCCCGCAACCACAAATTTAAAAATACAATTAGGGGAGTACACACACACACAAACACACACACCCACACAGGAACTCGGACCGACCCCTGCAACCTCCAAATTGGTTTAGAAAAACAAAGATGTACAGAAGATTAAAAAACATAAAAATATAAAGGTTTTATGGGGTAAGGATTATTAAAAAAAGGGCAAGGGGGGAAAAACAGGGAAGGGTGAAAGAGGAAGATAATCGGAAGGAAAATAAAAAAAGAGAGGGAAAGGGGTACCAACCTTTAACTTCACGGGCCCAAAACAAAATAACAGAGGGGGGAAGTATCTTTACAAACCCCCAGGTGACCAGCCTGTTTCAACAAAGGGAAATCCCCAGCACTCCTGTATTGGGAACAGTTGGTTAAATGTACTTGCTAGGTTTAGGGGCCCCCTTTGGTTTTAAAGTACTTTGCTAGGGGGGGGGGGGAGGCAGTTAATGTACTTTTGCTAGGTTTAGGGTTGGTTTAAAGGGACTTGCTAGGTGAGGCGTTCATTAATGTACTCTGCTAGGTGAAAGGCAGTTGGTAATTAAAATTGCCAATGAGGCACCCTTGGGTTAAAAGTACTTTTTCTAAAGGGGAGGCCCGTTGGTTAATGTACTCCCACAGGTGAGGCCCGTTGGTTAATTTTAAAACCCGCTGGAGGGGAGTTGGGTTTAAAGTACCTGCTAGGTTTAGGGGAATTTTTTAAAATTTTCATTTGGGTAGGGGGAGGCAGTTTGGGTTTAAAGAAATTGCTAGGTGGGCAGTTTGGTTTAAAGTACTCTGGGTAGGTTTAGGGAGTTGGGTTTAAAGTACTCTGTTTGGGGAGGCAGATGGTTTAAAGTACTCTGCAAGGGGAGGCATTGGGGTTTAAAGTACTCTTCTAGGGGAGGGAGTTGGGTTTAAAGTACTTGCTAGGGGGGGGCAGTTGGTTTTTGTAAACCCGCTAAAGGGGAGGGGAGTTGGTTTAAGTACCTGCAAGTGAGGCAGTTGGTAAAGTACCTGTTAGGGGAGGGAGGTTTGGGTTTAAAGGAAATCTGCCCGGGGAGGCATTGATTAAAGTACCTGCTAGGGAGGCCCTTGGTTAATGGGAATCCGCAGGGGGCATTTGGGAAAAGTACTCTGCTGGGAGGCAGTTTGGGGTTTGTACTTTTGCCCAGGTGAGGCAGTTTTGGTTTTAAAGTACTCTGGAAAATAGGCCGTTTGGGTTTTTAAAGGACTCTTCTAGGTGGCAGTTGGTTAATGTACTCTGGGTAGGTTTGGCCCGTTTTGGTTTTAATTTTTCTCTGGGTAGGGGGAGGCAGTTGGTTTAATGACTTGCTAGGGGAGGCATTTGGTTAATGTTCTCTGCTAGGTGAGGCAGTTGGTTAAAAGTACTCTGCTAGGGGAGGCCCCGTTTGTTAATTTACCTTCTAGGGGAGGGAGTTTTGGGTTAAAAGCCCTGTTTTTGGTGAGGGATTTGGGTTTAAAGCACTCTGCTAGGGGAGGCATTTGGTTTTTAAAGTACTCTTTCTAGGGGAGGCATTTGGTTTTAAAGTACTCGCTAGGTGAGGCAGTTTTGGGTTTAAAAAACTTGTTTTCGGTTTTGGCAGTTGTTAATGTTCCTGCTAGGTTTAGGCGTTTGGGTTTAAAGTAAATCTGCAAGGGGAGGCAGTTGGTTAAAAGACCCCTGCTAGGTGGGCGTTGGTTAATGTAAAACCCGCTAGGGGAGGGGAGTTGGGTTTAAAAAACTCTTGGTTTGGCGAGGGTTTTGGGTTTAAAGTAAATCGCTGGGGGGGGCAGTTGGGTTTAAAAGTACTCTGCTGGGTGAGGCAGTTGGTTTTGTACTCTGCAGGGGAGGCAGTTTGGTTTTAAAGTACTCTGCTAGGGAAAGGGAGTTTTTTTAATGTACTCGGCTAGGTGAGGGAGTTGGTTTTTAAAATTTTTCTGCTAGGTGAGGCAAAATTTTGGTTTAAATTTCTTTTTTTTGGGTTTTGGGGAAGGGGGAGTTGCTTAATGTACTCTGGCTAGGGGGCATTGGTTAATGTTTTTTCCTAGGTGAGGCAATTGGGTTTAAAGTACTCTTTGCAAGGGAGGCCCGTTTTTAATGTACTTGGGGTAGTGAGGCATTTGGTTAATGTACTCTGCTAAAGGGAGGCAGTTGGTTAATGTAAATTTTGCAATTTTGAGGCATTTTTTTTTAAAGTACCCCCTGCTAGGTGAGGGAGTTGGTTAATTACTCCCGTTAGGCGAGGCAGTTGGGTTAAAGTACTCTGCTTAAATGTCAGTTGGGGTTTTTTGACTCTGCTAGGTGAGGCATTTGGTTTTTGTAAATCTGTTAGGCAGGCAGTTGGTTTTAAATTTTCCTCTTATTTTAGGCAGTTGTTTTTAAAGTACTCTGCAAAAAAACGAAAAGTTTAAGAATGGATACTTGTGTAACAACTGGGGAATTTTTTCACTGTGGAAACCCTTGGCACCAGTGGGCCCCCTTTTATCCAAAAAAGAAAGAACGGTTGTAATTTTTAATTTTTTTTTCTCTCAAATTTTTTGTGAATCCTTTGTGTAATATTGAGCTGTGTTCTTCCCTAAACAAAACATTTTTTTTACAATTTTTTAGTCACACTGGCTACCCCCAAATTACCTTTTTTTTTTAATTCAGTCCTTAAATTTTGTTTTGGGAGATAGCGACCACCCAGGAGGTACTACCGCCTGTCAATTTAGTGTATAACCCAAAAACCTGTAAATTTTTTACCCTAAACCCGGAGTAACCCGGAGTTTTTTCCGGGGATCAAAGCCCCCGCGGCCCCGGGTCCACGACCAGGCCTCCCGGTGGATCAGGGCCTGATCAACCAGGCTGTTACTGCTGGCCGCACGCAGTCCAACATACGAACCACAGCCCGGGTGATCCGGCACTGACTTTTGGTATCTGTTCAGGTCTCTCTTGAAGGCAGCCAGGGGTTTATTGGTAATTCCCCTTATGCTTGGTGGGAGACTGTTGAACAGTCATGGGCCCCGGACACTTGTGGTGTTTTCTCTCGGTGTACCGATGGCGGGGCGCCATCGGTACACCCCGGTAATTGGGGTATTTTGCATCGCCTGCCCAGTCTTTTACTTTCGTAGGGAGTGATTTCTGTGTGCAGATTCGGGACCATTCCTTCCAGGATTTTCCAAGTGTAGATTATGATATATCTCTCTCTCCTGCGTTCCAACGAGTACAAGTCAAGTGCTTCCAAGCGTTCCCAGTAGTTAAGGTGCTTGACAGAACTTATACGTGCAGTAAAGGTTCTCTGTACACTCTCTAGATCTACAATTTCACCTGCTTTGAAACTGCAGATCTAGATAGTGTGCAGAGAACCTTTACTGTACGTATAAGTTCTGTCTGGAAGGATTGCTGTTTTTTTTTTTTGTTTTTTTTTCATAAACATGTAAGTTTTCAGGTACATCTTGCTACTTCTACTTACACTTACGTCACACTACACATACATGTACAAGTTTATATATACACACCCCTCTGGGTTTTCTTCTATTTCCTTACTAGTTCTTGTTCTTTATTTCCTCTTATCTCTATGGGGAAATAGAACAGAATTCTTCTTCCGTAAGTCATGCGTGTCGTAAGAGGCGACTAAAATGCCGGGAGTAAGGGGCTAGTAACCTCTTCTGTATAAATTACTAACTTGAAAAGAGAAACTTTCGTTTTTCTTTTTAGGTCACCCTGCCTCGGTGGGGTATAGCCGGTTTGTTGAAAGAAGAAGACTGTATTAGTGCACGTATGTTTGTATACTTTCATGTACACCGTATGACCCCCCCATCCCCGTCCTCCGTGGACGAATGTTTCCCAGTGAATATAATAATCTCATACCTTCGTCGTCCTCAGCATTAGGGTCAGCGTTAGCATTGAGGAGAGCCTCGACCACGGTTGTGTGGCCTCCGTCTGCAGCCTGGTGAAGGGCCCTGCGACCTGCAGCATAACACACATTAATATTATTGATACACTTTGTAGTATTAATATTTTTAGCTGTATACCTTTCCTGGGTGTACATAATATTTGTATTAATTTTTCTTTGAGTACTGTTATTATAAGACTTATTTCTTTATTAGATAAACATGGGTGTTCATTATTACCTCTGGATTGTGGCTTGTAACTGGGAGCGTCAACATTAACCTTATTGTCTATCAGGCGGAGAGTAGTCTCCGTGTCGCCAGCACCAGCTGCATCAATCAATTGTTCCTGCGAGGGACACCACATTTACAGGTTTCAGTACAGTAGCTGCTGATATATTATGATACGTCACAACATGTAAGAACATTAATTTGAAAGAACACTGCAGTAGGCCTATTGGCCTGTGCTACTCAGGTCTAATTCATACTTAACCACACCAACTCAAAACTTTCCAACCTATATTTAAAGCTACCTATTTTAATCAGTAAACCATGATAGTGTACGACATTTTTTATCTGAATTTCAGTTAAGTCCTCTGGTCCTCTGGTACACTTTCACCCAGGAGACTTATAAAGTAGCAACACAAGGTATTACAGGACTCTTCCCTGGATGAAATCATACTTGATTATAGGCATCAAGTTGCATAAATGAGAAGTATGAATGGGAATCCGTTACGTTTAACGGATAATGAATCGAGCCTCCATCACTGCACACTGGCTTTATTACATCCTGTTTCTAGTCGTGGTTATCTATAATGCAGAAGCGGCCTCCTTAATCTTTTCCTCTGTCAGCTTTATTTCTTCATATATACTCTGTACTTTATTTATTTTCAAACATATGTAATTATAAGCACTCACACACTTTCGGACCTCAAGAAACCCATCATGCATGTACTAACCTCGAGGAAGTAGTTACACACGTTTTCAGAAAAAGATTTCATTGCTAGGTCAACTGGTGTAAGGCCCATGCTGTTCTTGACGTTAATCTGGACGCCTTGTTCGACCAACCAGCGAACCGCGTCCAGGTTGTCGTTATTGGCAGCTAGGTGAAGCGGTGTGGCGTTGTCGTCGCCGGAGGCAGAAACAGTGATGTCACATCCGTGATCTTTCAGCACGCGTAATACCATCACGTGACCTCCGAAGGCCGCCCAGTGGACACCCTCGCGACCTGACCAATAATGTAGGAACAATCTCACGTCTCCATATTATAAAACACCAAAATACAGTGCAATATCATACAGTAAATTATAACATGCACAGCAAATTGTAATGGAAATTACAATTCAAGTAATTCATCTCAAACACTGTCATGCACCCAATAAAATAGTACATGAATCCTAGTTGAGAGAATGTTTCATTCTCGCGACTACCGGGAAGAAAACTAAGTATCCACTACTATTTACTCTGAATGACCGATGTAGCGCTTTACTTAATTAAAAAAAAATAGGTTCGATAAAGTTGAATACTTTAGAAAAAAATTATTATGCAGGTTTATTAAAATGCCGGTTTTGCCGGAGAAATTGGAGGCTACAGCCACAACCTAATGCTTTCCTATACCAGTTTATCTCATCAAAAGTGAGTAGACCTTCATTTTGGCAGCAAAAAAAGATTGCAAGTAGATCGGGTATTTTTGTTGTACAGGTCTGGCTAATTTACCTACTCCCACAAAGATTGTGAAATGTGATTGTTTCCACTAACTGAAATGTTCAGTGTTGCCAAGAGAAAGATATAGATACAAATGGCCTGGGAATAACAGCCTTTGGGTAGATCAGTCACAGCTGGGTTGACTGCAAGGGGTGAAATCCTTCAGTTTGAATTCAACAACAGTCACATAAGACTTGTTTCTCAGGAAGTGGACTGGGTCCGCTGTTAATTATATCTACACACTAGTTCCTAAGACTCAAGCTACAACCTAAATTATTAAATCATTGGGGAGGTAATAAAGGTTGATCCAACAAAAAGTAGAAACAGTTCCGTGAATCAAGAGGCCTTCGCCAGCAGCATAGTATTTATCTCCCTTCAAGAGTGCACAGCAAGAATGTGGTGAGAGAATAATGAGTATGGCATCCCACTCTCACCCTGGGCTACAGCTCGTTGGTCGACCTTCAGTACGAGTAGCTTCTCCACCACTTGGACATGGCCGCCCCAACACGCCAGGTGCAGCGCCTGCAACCCTGTGCAACAGTAAGGGACGATTGCTTAGCAATAAAATAATTATAGAATAAAATAATTATAGAATAAAATAAAGAAATTTACAATACTGCTACTACTACAATAAAGAAAATTATTTACATAGTCTGTTCGTCTCAAAAAAAAAAATAATGAGTATTTATCATTTTCATTAATAGAAGCTTTTGGTAAAGTAGACTTTTACACTACAAATAATAATAATAATAATAGATTAAATAATAATAATAGATATGGATTTCGACAGTATGTTAGAGGCATAACCTTAATTAAGTCTGACCTTCCTCTCCAGGCCTAGTGCTGGTGGAAGACAAGTCTGCTCCAGCTGCCACACAACTCTCTACCTCTTCCACCTCCCCCTCCGCCGCCGCCACCAGCATCTGTTGGTAGTGAATAATTTGATTTTTTACGGCTTTGGTATAAACTTTGGTAATGGATTCCGACAATTGGTTTAAAAAAAGACACGTGGGCAACAGTAACGCGTATTTATTAGTAACGTGTCCTAATGTTTCTTCACGTGTCGTTTCTTCACGTGTCTGTTTAAGCCCATTTCACAACTATAGTTTGCGCTTGATGCCTATTCTGTGAGAGGTAGATCTGATGATCGCAGTGGCGTGCAGAAACGCTCGTCTGGGCCAGTAAAATAGAGTAGCAACAAGCTAAAAAAAAAAAAGAGCAAATTTGAGATTCTTTGGCTAGACTGTTTTGGTTATCACTATTTGCAAAATTTCTAATATATGTGTGTCATAGAGTTGTCTCAAAATATATATTTCTTTTTTACATTTAAGTACGGAATTGTGCAAGTTGTGAGAGAAATTTTGCTGGTAAGTTTTAGTTCAAAATCAGCTTTTACAAATTAATCAGGTATATCCATGAGTGAGACTTGTTGGTTGTAAGTAGGTCGGTGTACTATGTTAAAATACCACAGGTAAAAATGACAGTAAATATATAAATTAGACTAAGCGAGCACAGAAACGCTTGCAGATGGGATGACTGCAACAGCGCCTGTGTACAGCACAGGAACGAACATGGACACTAGATGAAATTCAATTAGGCACGACTAAGTCATCCTCAAAAACAACACATGAACGTTGTGAACATTAAAATGGTATAAAATACCGACAGGTTGTTAGGTAAGACACAACAACATTAGGTACCAACTGTGCATATTCTTACTAACACATGAAGTTGTCTACATGTCACACGACACGTCCAAAGCTGACTGTTCAGTGTTTCTGACCATTTACTCAAAAGATTATTAGCCATGTTAGAACTGGCCGTCACATAAACAAACAAGAAATATAGTGAAGCACTGCAGAAGGCTTACGGCCCGTGCTAGGCCGTAAGCCTTTTGCAGTGCTTCTTCTCAGAATCCAACCCAATTCAGCGTATCTCCCTGCCTCACCTCCTCCTCTCTCTGACTTCTACGTAACACTGTTTTAACTGTCTTAGGACCGGTGAAGCCATTCGTGGCGAAATGTTGTCTAACAAATGTTCAAAATTGAACAAAAGTATCATTTGTGACTTATTAGTTATGTATTACTCTCTTTTTTTATATACCTCACAAAAAACAAGTAATGCATAGGTTGTTCAAATATATGGATGGGAACGGTAGAATTTGAGACTGCCATTTATGGGCCAGTAGGCCTGCAATAGTGTTCCTCCATGGTTATATTCTTAAGATGGACTGACTAATGTCTCTCAGCTTGCCTCCTGACATGCCGAAAGAAATTTAAAGGATGGGAAAGATAATTTGGCATAAAATTAGGCCAAAAAATGCAGCTGTGTTGATAAATAGACAAAGACTTGGGATAACATCGACTCACCTGAGTAGATAGATCTGACTGCCTGTCTTGAGGGGAATCCAGAGGATGAGGGGAGTCTAGAGGGTGAGGGGAGTCCAGAGGGTGAGGGGAGTCTAGAGGGTGAGGGGAGTCCAGTGGGTGAGAGGACTGAGGGTGAATGACAGTCTGTATTTCATGAGAAAGCTGAGGTTGATCGTAAGTTTGAGTGTGAGAGGACCAGTGAGGAGAGGGAAAACGGGCGTCCTGAGGGTAAGTGGGGGACGGGGGCTGAATATTAAGCTGAGTTTGTGGGATCCGCTGAGCAAGATGGGGAGGTCTGCGGTAAGAAGAAGCCTGAGGGTTTATAGCTGGGCTGAGTGTGTGAGGGCCTCTGAGGAGAAATGGAAGAAATGGTCTGAGGGTAAGTGTCCAGCTGACGTTGGTAGTTGCGCTGACGTTGGAGGTCGGGGTGACGCTGATAATCGGTCTGACGCTGATAGTCGGGTTGACGGTGATAGTCGGCCTGACGCTGATAGTCGGCCTGACGCTGATTGTCGGCCTGACGCTGATAGTCGGGTTGAGGAGGGTTAGTCCACTGAGGAGGTGGCAGGGGTGGGGATGAGGCTCCTCTGTAGCTTGCTGAACCACTACGGGTGTCCTGAGGGTGGGCAGAGCGAGGTGTCCTAGACACAGCAACACTGCTCGTACCTACTGAACCATCATCAGGGTACACCTGGTACCTCTGCTGCTGCACCTGTGTCAGAAGGAACCATAATTATAGTTATGTGAAGCGCGAAACATATGGGTAGTGTCATGTAGTGAAAAAATGCCAAGATAATTCAGTGACACTTTTAAGAATTTTGGTAAAGCTGAAGTGTGAATATTAATAAATATATGTTTTTATTTATTTCATAGTTCACTAAACTATAAGATTTCTTTATTTTAATCAGAGGGATGAGCTAAAGGGGCGTTCAGGGTAGACCCAAGAAAGAGGAGAATGAGTCCAGTTTCTTGGAACAAGAGCCTATAAAATTCTGGCTTCCTCCAAAGATTTTGCAATAATTCCTCTTCAAGTGATAAAAGAACAAATCTTCACAATCTTTTTTTATTTTAAGAATTTATCGTTCTCAGCAGGTGGGGAACTATTCATTAACAAAAGCTAGTTGCTTCCAATATTGGGTATCTCAGAGAACAGATTTTCCAAGTATCTTACGCTTCTCTGGCAAGCTTCGAAAGTCTGAACTCCAGTTATACCAAGATTAAAATTACAGAAACGTAAGTGTAGAAAAATGCCTAATGCCGTATACTGTACAAATAAGTAATATTTTGCTAAAATAACGAACAAAAAATAGACATCAAATGTACTAGTTGAGCCAAAAACTTTATTTAAATCTAAATAATGTTCTTACTTTTCCGAATGTTCGGTACTGTTTAAGGAAGTCGACCACTTCCTTGTGAGATTTCTTCCTGGCGCAGTCTTCAGCTGTGTCTTGCTGCTTGTTAACAGCAGTGGTGATCGCGCCTTGCTCCACTAGCCACTGCACCACCTGCAGATGGTTATTCTCTGCAGCCAGATGGAGAGAGGTCGAGTTGTTCTTCGTCTTGGCTTCTAGGTCGCACCCCAGGTTTTTCAATTCCTCCAGAATCCTGGTATGGCCGCAGGCAGCAGCGAAGTGTATAGGACGCCAACCTGGTGTGAACCAACACCAGTGTTGTAATGTTTGTTTACACTGATGACAGAAAATATACGTTTTCCACCAAATAATGAAATACAGTCACCATCACTCATTCACAAATGTAATGACCTGATAGGTGCCTGCACTCTGAACCTATTTTTAAGAGTGCAGGCACATTCAGAACCGGAGTCAAGTTAACCAGTTCCCCTAACTCCCTTCATAAACGCAGACACTCCCAGAGGTTCAGCGAGGCCTGGGTCACTTTCCACTCTTGATGTCTCCTTAACTAACTAAATAAGATTCTGATGAGGGGTTTTTCGTTTAAGGAATTTAACGTATCTCCCTTTTTCGAACCTGGTTGCTTCTCATTTACGTAGACATTGTATGATTACTACAAATAGATATTCCGGAATTTCAGTGCAATTTCGCACACGAAATATTTTTTGGTTCATTTGAAGCACCCTTCAAGGGTGGTGTGCCTGGATGCTGATACGGGGCTCTTGATCCAAGGAATTAGAAATCTTCTTTCCTTCCTCGCAACGAGCCTGACTGCCTATCATTCCCCAGGTGCTGTGTAGCCCTTTCTTATTTTATCGTTTGCTTATTAATATAATAATAATAACAACAAATGAGGCTCCAGCTGAATGAAGCTACTTAGTTTGTCACTATGAGAAGACATACAGAGGCGGAATTGTTTAAAGGCAGCCCTGATTATATAAAATATACAAAAAATTCATTTCGTATAAAAGGCAAAGATTTTACTTTTTTCCCTTAAAAATGCAGTAGCTTTAGGCAGGATACCTTCAATGTCTCGAGCTTCCTTCGATGCACCTTTGTTCACCAGTTGATAGAGAACCTTCACCTGATTTCTCTCGGCGGCCAGGTGCAGCGGCTGCATCTCTGGGGATACACAAACATAATATCTAACACCAGTTACCTACGTATATGTCACTCGTAGTGATAGTGGTAGTAGTGGATTGGGCATTAGTTGTGACGTAGGATGGTGGATGTGATCGTAGGTTAGGTGGTGGTGATGGTAGTAGTTGATCGTAGTTATGATAGTGTTGGTGACGTATATGGTGTGACAGGTACAATGGTGATACAAAAACACAAAATTGTCATGAATCACATAACAGTATTGTAAAGCCATCGTATTTGTCAAGAGATTTTATAAATTCGTGATGTTCACATGAATTTATATTTTGTAAATACACGATGCTCACATAAATTTATATACCGTAAATTTGACAGCTACTGAGATGCTGTGACTCAGTTGTTGCACGAGAGATTACAATATTAGAAAACTAGGATATGTACACAGAGAAGTATATGTCTCACAGTGTATATTCAGTGAGGGTTTACATTTTAGGGATTTAATATTGTTGACTAGCGGTGAACAGGTGACACTGCAGTCCAGTGATCCTTTGAGTGTATTAATGTTGGTAGAATTACCCACAATATGGTAGGTAAAAGGACACAAGTTGAGCTAACGTGACATTTTATTGTGGTAACGTTTCGCTCTCCAGGAGATTTGTCAAGCTCCTGTCAAAGCTCTTGGAGAGCGACACGTTACCACAATAAAATGTCACATTAGTTGCACTTGTGTCCTTCTACCTAACATCCTTTGAGTGATCGATGCATAGTCCGTTGATTACTCAGTTAACTGCGTTATTTAATTGAGTTTTATAGCAAACTCAGTTAACTAACGGAGTTCAACTAGTATGTTGCATCGTCATGAAGCAGGTCAGGAGAAGGTACACTGGTATTAGGAAAGAAATATCACAATTCTTTACAAATCTGGTAACAACTATTCAAATACACTAAGATCCTAAAAAGTACTGACGACAATAATGTAGAAAAGACATTGCAGGACATACTTTTGTGGGGCCGACGTTTCGCCCTGTATAGAGCTTTATTAAGTCATAACTGGATAAAGCTCTGCAAAAGTTTATTCTGCATTGTGTCTTTTTTTCACACATACTGTTTCCATAAGATGAAAGTCCCAGTCTGAACTATAGCGTCCGTTATGGAGCAGTTCAGGACTCCAGCAATGGTCTGCCTTACTGGCAGGAGAACCCAACAAGGCTTCTATCCAACAGGGAGGAGGAGGAGCATTCAAGGTTTTTACCCATATTGGAGAACAACCCAAGAATGTTTCCACCTTAATGGAAGGTGAATCCTAGAAGACTTGTACTTTACCGGGAGGAGGACCCCGAGAAGATGATTAGTGGAGTAGGGCAGTAAGAGACGTGGTAGAGGCGTAGTGAAGGAGGATGGAGCTCCTGATGAGGCTAGTGACGGTGGATGAAAATACATAAAACAACGTAAATCATTATTAAAATAATGTTTCGTTTAAGGGAAACTTACTCATGTTAAGATCTTTATTAAGCTTCCCTTGAGTTAAACGTTGTTATAATATCAACTTAGCATGTTTTTTTCTTGTCATCCACTTAGCGGCTTTCTTTCACTAGTGACAGTGATCGATCTGTGTGATGATCTCACCTTGGTAATCCTTAACATTAATTGTGGCTCCGTATCGAAGTAACTCCGTCACCACCTCCTCAAGTCCAGCCGCAGAGCTCAGATGCAACGCCGTCCGACCTGGTAGAGAGGAATCCACATTGTTCATACACTTCTGGTCTCAGTATGATGTTCTCCTACTTTTATACATTCTTCCATCTGTGTGTTATAATACAAGGATACACGGAGAAACGGTTTGGATTGGTAGGAATGCTTACCCATGTCGTCTCTTCTGTTGCTTCTTTCGTCTAGATTAACGCCAGACTTTATTAGTGAGCTGATGGTTCTTAAATTGCCTCTGGCAGCCGCTTCCACCAGTGGCTGACGTTCATCGCTCGACGTGTGTGCTGCTGACTCAGCCTCCTGTGGTAGATAAAATGAGTAGGCCTCTTTCTTTATCCTTTCCACTCTCACTCTCTCATATATATAATATATATATATATATATATATATATATATATATATATATATATATATATATATATATATGGGAAATACAATGCCTGCACTTTAAAGGAGGGTTAGGGATATTGACAGTTTGGAGGGATATGTTGTGTATTTTTATACGTATATACTTCTAAACTGTTGTATTCTGGGCACCTCTGCAAAAACAGTGATAATGTGTGAGTGTGGTGAAAGTGTTGAATGATGAAAGTATTTTTGGGGGGGGATTTTCTTTCTTTTTTGGGTCACCCTGCCTCGGTGGGAGACGGCCGACTTGTTGAATATATATATATATATATATATATATATATATATATATATATATATATATATATATATATATATATATATATATATATATATATATATATATAGGGGCCCTCATCCTCAGAGGAAAGAATAAACTTGCTTCAGGGAGAACTCAAGGTTCTCCCTGAAGCTGTTTGAGAATTTTCTCCTACCACCCCCTATATTTAATTAATATATATTTTATTTAAAGACAAAATACATTGACAAAACATTCACAAAGATACAATAGAAAGTAAAATAACATAGTTAACTTAGAGCTACATCTCGAATACTTCGTGCAGCTCCCCGGCGGTGGGCCGCGTGCCCAGAATGCTATATATATTGCTATATATATATATATAATATATATATATATATATATATATATATATATATATATATATATAATATATATATATATATTATACTTTGGTAAAAGATTACATTGGAAAGGATAATACATTTGATGCTGCAGGATGCTGCAGGTATTTCCTTTCTGAATCAGTGTTGAGGTGTCATTTTTGTTGAGGTGTGGTATTAATAATCTCGGTTTTTTTTAATCTATTACGCCTTTATTTTTTCAACAGAGATATATTATATACTTAGTATAAGCACTTTCCCAGCATCTGAAATGATGCTTTAATATCTAATTTTCGGGAAAACTAACATTTTTGTCATACTAGTGTGATTATATGAAGAAAAGATCTCCAGTGACTGACCAGGATGTTGGATGTCTGGTATGTCTTAAGCCACGTGTACACTTTATGATGTGCCCTTCCTCTGTCTGCCGGCGTCCGCTTCTCTCTGTCCAGACAGGAGGGGGAGTGACCGTGACTAACCAGCCACTTCACTGTATCGAGATGGCCGTATTCAGCAGCCAGGTGCAACAAGGTGTTGGCGCCGTACTGTTCAGGGGAAGTCAGGAGGCTGTTGTGCTTCCATAACTGCTCAAGAATAGCTGTGTGGCCTCCGCGGCTAGCGTGCTGTGCTACGCTTTCTCCTGTCAAGTAAGATTTTTATGACTGAATTCATGATTATTTTTGCAGAAAAGCAACACCACCAATTAACATGTCTACAAAGTCTCCATTATTGCAAGGATGTAGGTTGTTTGGTTGTATATCCATACAGATTACAGTTACAGAGGAAGACAAGAAGAGAAAGAAGAAAACATTATGTTTCCTGTATACTAATGGCAAGCTAACATTTACACAGCCCAGTTACACTTCAGACCTTCCTGTCAGTGAGATACACCAACATGGAAAGTTGGAAGCCCAACGGAAGAGGTGAAGCTAATGCAGTTCTTGAATTTACCTATAAATAAAACAATTTGCAGGTTAGGGCATTTTTTAAGACTTTTGTCCTTCGGGGATTTCATCAGTTTAACAGTTAATAAGTCCCTAGTGAAATAAACATCTTCATTAATAGAATGCCATAACCCGTATATTGTGTTCTTATTTGTATCCAGAAAGTGCGATCTCAGTATCAATTTTATTTCACGAAAACACTGAAGAAAAAAATAGCAACAGCCACTATAGATATCCTCTTCCTTGGAATATCTTAATATAACTTGGAATCTTAGATTAATAGTTGTTAGTAACAGAGAAGAGAAAAGTGGTTAGTAATTAAGAAACTGCGGTCATTTTCCTTACCGTTGTCATCAAGGATCTGAGCGTCAGCGCCTCTCTGTAGAAGGAGGTTCACGGTGGCTTTGTGACCAGCCTTCACCGCCAGCACAAGTGCCGTCCCTCCTGCAGGACAAGTGCACCTCAACAACGTCAAAAGATATGGCTGCCATACAGTCACAGCAAAGCAAGCCTTTATTTTGGACATTTAGCTTAAAGGCAAGTGAAACGTTGCCCAAAGAGAGGCTTGCTCTACTGAATATATATTTGGGATGCGAAGGGAAAGCATGGGGAGGGCGAGAGGAATATCGTAACGATGGTGATTTTTTGTTATAACAGTGACAGACACAGAGAAAGGGACAGACAGCAGACACGACAGATTGAGGCAGGTTGAGATACGAGGTGTTAGAGACGATAAATGCCAGTATCCCCTTCTTCCCCTAATACACACACACACACAGAGCAGACAAAGTCTTTATTAACAAGAACCCATGACAGTCTCTAACTAACACACAGTTCTCTACAAAATAATAAAAGAAAACACTGTAATCCCTACAAGAAGACTTGCATAAAAATTATTGATCTGTGATAAAATATAGAAAACATTTAACAAAGAGAGGAATCTACGAGTAACTGTTGAGAAAATGGTCAACAAAACATAGCGTAACTATACCAGTAAAAAAAATCCTATGTTATAATAGCAAGCTTCAAAATTAGTCTGACGATTACAAAATACCACAGTGAAAATAGGGAATAAAACAGAAGCTCTTTCATGTGCTTACACACACATCTTCAGAGGAATAGGAAGAAGAGGCAAGATAATCACATTTTAAATGCTAAACTCTGATATATGGCTGGGCAAATGCCCATGAAAAAGTCTTCACATGTATATCAAAGCAAAATTGTAGTATACAGCTGTAGTGTGGTGTTCGCACCTTGAATCAAACAAGTTCATTAGATCAGACAATGTCTGAAGATAAATTACGAAATAGTTCCCAAAGTTAAGGGGAAAACATGGAAGTTTAGAAAAAAAATTGAAATGACAACAAATCCCTCGTTGGCTAATAGCAGGAAAAGAGGAGATATAAAAAACAAATATTTATAAATATATAATATATTATATATATATATATATATATATATTATCTATATATATATAAATATATAATTAGACCTTTCTTTTTTGGTGCAACACTTTGTGCACTTAAAAAGAAGGATGGAGGAATTCGGCCATTGCAGTAGGCACACCTTACGCCGCCTCGTATCCAAAGCTGCTGTCCGAAGTATTCGTGCACAGGCAGCCATGATGCTTCAACCAAACCAGCTTGGCTTTGGGGTCTCTCAAGGAAGTGAAGCAGCGGTTCATGCAACAAGGGCGTATATCAACAACCTGCCTGAGGACAATGCAGTGGTAAAATTAGATTTCAAGAATGCGTTCAATCTCCTGAAAAGAGACGTGGTATTACAGCAGTACAAGAACATTTCCCTGGTCTCTTCCCTTTTGTTTCAGCCGGGTATAGCAAGGAATCAATGCTTCTCTTTGGAGAGCATGAAATTACATCATCGGAGGGTGTCCAACAAGGAGATCCTCTTGCACCATTTCTCTTCTGTATAGCAGTTAGGGAAAATCACAGTCAGACTGACCAGCGAGCTAAACAAATCTGGTTCCTAGATGATGGCACACTAGCAGGTACAAAAGAGTCCCCTCCTACATGACCTTACACAGGTAATGACACGGGGACAGGAAATGGGTCTCATCCTGAATCCATCCAAATGTGAAATCATCTCAGTCAGTCAACAAGTGATAAATGCAGTGAGATCAAAACTACCAGGAGCAGCAGTCATTGCCCCCACAAATAGTGTCTTGATAGCAGCACCTCTGGGAAGCAATGCCATTGACACAATTCTCAGGAAGAAATTGGAAGAGTTAAGGAGAATGGAACAACGAATAGGCAATCTGGACACCCACGATGCCTTGTACCTTCTCACAAAGTGCTTGAGTCTGCCCAGGTTGACATATTTCCTAAGATGTGCACCTTCATATGATAACCCTATACTGCACGAATATGACAGTATTCTGAGGCAGATTTTTACGAAAGTACTTAACTCTAGAAGACGGGCAGTGGAACCAAGCTACACTTCCAGTCAGACTAGGAGGCATTGGTGTCCGCAAGTCATCACAGATTGCGTTACCTGCTTTTCTGTCCTCGTGTATTGCATCCAGAGAGCTTGTAGCAGCGATTCTCCCTGAACATCTTAGGGACAAGATAGGAGTCCAGGACCAAAAATTCATTGACGGAGCAATGATCTGGGATAATCTAACGGGCTCTGGAGCCAGACCTGCTCCCCCCACAACTACAAACAATCGCACTGGATGGTCCAATAGTGGAAAATATTGCCTCAACAATGCTTCAGAGTGTGTCAGGGAAGGATAGAGCCCGCCTCCTGGCAGTGAGAGCCCTCATGCTGGGACTTTCTGTTGGCTGTTCCCAACTCCAGCCTTGGCACACGTCTCGACCCACAGACCATCCACATCGGTGTTGCCCTTCGACTTGCCGCCCCAATTCTCGCCGAACACAGGTGTATTTGTGGCAGTGAAGCAGCAGACCGATTCGGGTACCATGGTCTTGTGTGCCGTAAATCCGAGGGAAAGATTGCAAGACATGAGGAGGTTAATAACATTATCAAGAGGAGCCTCACAACAGCTGGATGCCCAGCAGTAAGGGAGCCACCCCAACTATGCAGATCTGATGGCAGCCAGAAGCGTCCAGATGGTATCACCCTTCAAGCCTGGACAGATGGGAAGCAGGTGGTGTGGGACTATACATGTGCATCTACCTTGGCTGATACCTATCTCCAATACACCAGGGAGGAAGAGGGGCAGCTGCCAGCTTCAGGGAGTCCCAAAAGTCTAGAAATATGGAGAACTTGCCCATCATTATATGTTTGTTCCCATAGGCTCAGAGACCCTTGGCTCATGGGGAAAGAGTGCATCTAAATTCCTTAAGGAGCTGGGAAAAAGACTCATCAGGGTAACTAGGGATCCCAGGGCAGCTAGTTTTCTGTTCCAGCGGCTCAGTGCGGCTGTTCAAAGGGGTAATGCCTGCTGTATTTTGGGCACACGCCCCAGCTCTGAGGAGCTGGATGAGATTTTCGCCTTATAATCGGTGATACCACACATAACAACATGTACCGTATATGCCACCTTTATATCAATAATGTATCTCTTAAATCTTCTGTACCATATTATGTAATAAAATATTCCTATTAGTAAAAAAAATAAATATGGAAAGATGGGGTGGTAAGGGGAAGTGGAATATTCAAACAGCTTCAGGAAGAAATCCAAATATTTTTCCTTGAAGCCTTTTTATCCACTTCTCCGAGGCTATGGGTCCCACAATTTACACCAGGGTGGACCCCATCCTATATATATATATTATAAATATATATATATATATATATATATATATATAATATATATATATATATATATATATATATATATATATATATATATGTATGTATATATATATATATATATATATATATATATATATATATATATATATAATATATATTATATATATATGTATATATATATTAGTTACCATCAACAGGGATGACAAGAGATCATATTTGTAAGCTGAGAGAAATACGATGCCGTAAGGATAAAAACTTTTTTTTTCTCAGTGATACAAGACGGAATAAAATACGAGGTGCGGTAATAGGTGCTACAACAACTGTAAATTACAATACGTATTTAATGATAGACTAAAAACAGAACACCATGAACAAAGCTCTGACAGCTACAAGTAGATAATCATGTACTTTCTAACCTTCATCCAACTTGCTCCTCAGCTCCAAGTCAGCCTTGTGGTCACACAACAGCCTGGCTATTTCCACGTAACCCGCCTGGGCTGCATAGTGCAAGGGCGACTTGAGAGTCGTGTGTCCTCCGTCAACACGGCCTCCCTTTGCTAGAGCTTTCTTCACTCCCTCTACCTCGCCATTCTTGACACATATGTTCTAGAAAGCATCCAGAACATGATATAATCAGTTACGTTTTTCTTTTCCTATTTCGGGGTTTTAAAAATGCTGAATACAAGCAGATTGATTTGTAATAAAATCAAATCCCATATCTACTTGAAAACCTGTAACAGGTTTAGCAGCTACAAGAGGTTCAAATGCTTCTTTGTTCCAGCAGAGCTAGAGTTACTGTCGCTTGGGAATTACCATCTCTCAGCATGTATTATTCCATACCCATGTAAAACTGAATTTCTACGAGGATATCTTTATAATCAGAGAGCGGCCACTTGAACCCTCTCATTGGGGGGGGGGGGAAGAATCTGCCTTGAGCTACATATGCCTTCAGATCACACCTGATTGTCATCCAATCCCAGACACTACATGACCCTCACGGATTTAACGCTTCCATTAATACAATCTGAACACAACACTGCCTAAACGCCATGACATCTATCTCACTTTAACGCCCCACAATCGACCTTAATTAGCAGTTTCAACCCCCACCTGAAAATATTCTTCGCCACCTAAAGTAATCCTCCCCACTTATAGATAATCTCACCCACTTACAAGGTTCTCCGTCCAGTGTCTCGCCATCCTGGGTAACGTGATTCACTTGTCACAGCAAGGCTCATCAGTCCCCGGGATGTTTGCCGGGTTTTTCTGCGACCCTCCAAGACGCACTGTAGCGACGGCTGGCTGATTAACTGGCACTGTAGAGAGTCTGATAGCATCTGACCAGCCAGAGAGATAAGATAAGATATGAGCCTGCGCACTGCACAACATTCTGCTTGATAGCCATCTAACGACAGGCTGAGGAAAGTCAAAGATCAGGAGCTGAGGAAGGCAAGGATCAGGAGGAACTGAGGAAGATCAAAGATCAGGATCTAAGAAGATCGAATGTATGGATATGAGGAAAACCAAAGATCAAGGGAAGCTCAGGAAGATTAAAAGGGTCAGGTCAAAAACCCCAAGAGTATTTTAAGACAATGAAAAATTTAAAAAGGTATACAAATTTAACTAAATAAAACCCTGAAAAAAGTAATTTTACAGAGAGAAAGCAGTCGGGTTTTTTGTACCCCTTTCCCTCGTGCGACGAGATCCATACCTTACAATGAGTTGAAATGTGTCTCTTTCCCTTTAAGACGGAGCTTTCTGTGGTGACGCTCGGGGGTTTTCCAGCGCTGTGGTGAGTGCTGGGGTTCTCCGCGTGTGGTGACGCGCTGGGGTTCCCGGCTGTGGGGACGCTGCGGGGGGGTTTCCCGCGCTGTGGTGCGCTGCTGGGGTTTCCAGCGCTGTGGTGACGCTGCTGGGGTTTCCCACGCTTGGTGACGCTGCTGGGGTTCCAGCGCGGGTGACGCTCTGGGGTTTCTCCAGCGCTGTGGTGCGCTACTGGGGTTCTCCAGCGCTGTGGGGGCGCTGCTGGGGTTTCCAGCGCTGTGGTGACGCTGCTGGGGTTCTCCGCGTTTTGTGGTGACGTGTGGGGTTTCCAGCGCTGGGGTTTGACGCTGCGGGGGTTTCTCCAGGCTGGGTGACGCTATGGGGTTCTCCAGCGTGTGGTGACGTACTGGGGGGTTTCCAGCGTTTTGGGGGACCTGCGGGGGTTCTCCACGTGTGGGGGACGCGGGGGGTTTTCCCCAAGCGCTGTGGTGACGTGGGGGGGTTCCCCAGCGCTGTGGTGCGTGCGGGGGTTCTCCAGGTGTGGTGACGTGCTGGGGTTCTCAGCGTTGTGGGTGACGTACTGGGGTTCCCCAGCGCTGTGGTGACGTATGGGTTCCCCCCAGCGCTGTGGTGACGCTGTGGGGTTCTCCAGCGCTGTGGTGACGCTGCTGGGTTTCTCAGCGCTGTGGTGACGCTGCTGGGGGTTCCCCAGCGCTGTGGTGACGCAAAGGGGTTCTCCAGCCTGTGGTGACGTATGGGGTTCTCAGCGTGTGGTGGACGCTGCTGGGGTTTCAGCGCTGTGGTGACGGCTACTGGGGTTCTCCAGCGCTGTGGTTGACGCTATGGGGTTCTCCAAGCACTGTGGTGACGCTGCTGGGGTTCTCCAGCGCTGTGGTGATGCTGGGGTTCTCCAAGCGCTGTGGTGACGCTGCTGGGGTTTCCAGCGCTGTGGTGACGTGCTGGGTTCCAGCGCTGTGGTGACGAACTGGGGTTCTCCAGCGCTGGTTTTGAGCTGCTGGGGTTCTCCAGCGTGTGGTGACGTTTACTGGGGTTTCCAGCACGTGGTGACGCTGCTGGGTTCTCAGCACTGTGGTGACGTGTGGGTTCTCCAAAGCAATGTGGTGACGCTGCTGGGGTTCTCCAGCATGGGGTGACGCTGCTGGGGTTCTCCACGCTGGGGTGACGCTTGCTGGGGTTCTCCGATGTGGTGACGCTGTGGGTTCTCCAGCGCTGTGGTGACGTGTGGGGTTCTCCAGACGTGGTGACGCTGGGGGTTCTCCAGCGCTGTGGTGACGCTGCTGGGGTTCTCCAGCGCTGTGGTGACGCTGCTGGGGTTCTCCAGCACTGTGGTGACGCTACTGGGGTTCTCCAGCGCTGTGGTGACGCTGCTGGGGTTCTCCAGCATGTGGTGGACGCTGCTGGGGTTCTCCAGCGCTGTGGTGACGCTACTGGGGTTCTCCAGCACTGTGGTGACGCTGCTGGGGTTCTCCAGCACTGTGGTGACGCTCTGGGGTTCTCCAGCACTGTGGTGACGCTGCTGGGGTTTCTCCAGCCTGTGGTGGACGCTGTGGGGTTTTTCCAGCGTTTTGTGGTGACGCGCTGGGGTTCTCCAGCGCTGTGGTGACGCTACTGGAGTTCTCCGGGCTGTGGTGACGCTGCTGGGGTTCTCCACCCACTGGGGGGGTGACCCCTTGTGGGTTCTCCAGCGCTGTGGTGAGCTGCTGGGGTTCTCCAGCGCTGTGGTGACGCTGCTGGGGGATCTCCAGCACTGTGGTGGACGCTGCTGGGGTTCTCCAGCACTGGTGGTGACGCTGCGGGGGGTTTCCAGTGCTGTGGTGACGCTGCTGGGGTTCTCCAGTGTTTGTGGTGACGCTGCTGGGGTTCTCCAGCGCTGTGGTGACGCTGCTGGGGTTCTCCGCGCTGTGGTGACGCTGCTGGGGTTCTCCGCACTGTGGTGACTTTGCTGGGGTTCTCCGCGCTGTGGTGTGCGCGGGCTGGGGTTCTCCAGCGCTGTGGTGACGCTGCGGGGGGTTCTCCAGCGCTGTGGTGACGCTGCTAGGGTTCTCCAGCGCTGTGGGTGACGCTGCTGGGGTTCTCCAGCCTGTGGTGACGCTGCGGGGGTTCTCCAGGCGCTGTGGTGAGCTGGCTGGGGTTCTCCAGCACTGTGGTGACGCTGCTGGGGTTCTCCAGCACTGTGGTGACGCTGCTGGGGTTCTCCAGCGCTGTGGTGACGCTGCTGGGGTTCTCCAGCGCTGTGTGGTGACGCTGCTGGGGTTCTCCAGCGCTGTGGTGACGCTGCTGGGGTTCTCCAGCGCTGTGGTGACGCTGCTGGGGTTCTCCAGCGCTGTGGTGACGCTGCTGGGGTTCTCCAGCACTGTGGTGACGCTGCTGGGGTTCTCCAGCACTGCGGAACAATAAAAGTCACACTGGAACAGTTGTCTAAGGTTAACTACCATAGTTTACCGAAACATATATAATTATGACCAAGGGTGGATCTACTATGAAACTTAATGAAACTTAAACCTCGGGGCCCCTAATCCCGGAGGGGCCCAGAAACAACGTTAGTTTTACATTGCTTACAAAATTTGGGTCTACCATATGAAAAGGGATTTAAAAATCATAATGTTAATAATATAGTGTAATTCAAAACAAAATGATACTTTAATAATCTTTTAATCTTCAACTATCATGTAGGCTAGATGTTGCTGGTTGTGAAGGGGCCCACATAACAGTTCAAGCTTCAGGGGCCCAAAAAATGTAGGTCCGCTACTAATTACGACAGTTATGAGTTTATAACAAGGGTTATTTAAATATTTGCACGTCTGTAAAACCACAAGTAATGAATCTGAATAAATCTTATCGTATGAGTAATTACACTATTGTTAGTCTATCAGGTATCCCCTAAAAGGGAATTACCTGGAGTGATTATTTTTCTGTATTTTTTTCCTCTAAGGATTCTGTGTGGCAAAATGAGAATGACTCTTCTGATCGGTTTCAAACTTTCATCACTGGTGTATGGATATTTGTTTAGCTGTGTAAGTTGTATTTTATCATTTATATTAAATAATATGGGACATTGGTTTCCGTCCAGTGTCTTGAGAATGACTTTTCTAATAGGCTTCAAACTTTCATCACTGTACCCAGTGGAAAGATCGAATTGATTATGTGCTCTCAAGGTGTCGTTTTGCAAATTTTATTAATGATTTTTTTTTCATCTGCTTCGAACTTCCATTTCCATTCTACTCGCCGCTCAGATATTACTTTTTTTTAATGTTTTTACTCTCTCTCTCTCTCTCTCTCTATATATATATATATTATATATATATATATATATATATATATATATATATATATATTTATATATATATTATATATATATATATATTTTATATATATATGTGTGTGTATGATAGAAAAACTTGAAAAATTCGAGATACGCCAGCCAGATTTAACCTCCCTCGGAAACTAATGTTATGACAGGAACATAGCTGGATTTTGTTCCCACTGTGACTGTCAGTGTGAACCCGGTAACACCACAGTGAGGCTATATCCAGGTTTTTGGAACAAAACATTCTGTCTCTTGGAGCATAGAAACCTCTATGGATTTGGCTAGTCTAGTTTCATCTGATTGGTCTCGTTTGTTAAGTGCTTTATTGGGTTGAGTTCCAGCTCCTGGGACACTTAAAAGCGTTGATCTTTATAGCTCTTTTGCCTTTTGAGGATGTTGGTCTACAACTCCTGTGTATTTTAAAATTATTAAACTAGAGGTGCTAAGCTTCTTCAGCAAAGGCTCCTGGGCCTCTCAACGTGTTGATCATCAGCTCCTGGACCTCTTGCGAAAGTTGAATTATAGCTCCTGTCTCTTAAGCGAGTTCAGTTGCATCTCCTTTGCCTCGACTTTACTATGCTTGCGCTCTGACTGCTTTCAGTTTCATGGGGCTGGGGTTATGATACAGGGGGATACCTCTCACAATAATTATAATAATAATAATAATAATAATAATAATAAAATTAAATAATAATATTATTATTATTATTATGTAATTTTGTCATTCTTGATAGCTTATTTTTTAAAAAATTTACAAGTCCTAAATTTGCCCAAATTTTATCCAGTGCCGCGAGTCCTCTTATGGTTAAATATTTTCAAAACGCTGTTCATATTACCCTTAATTATTTATTCCTTCTGAATATCTTAGTAAGAAAGGTTCTGAAACATGGACTCAGTTTCGTCAACCTTCTCTGCATATTTTACAACGCACTTCTGTAATATGAAGACCAGAACTGAGCAGCATAATCTAAATGAGGCCTTACCAAGGATAAATAAAGGTGAAGTATAATCTTAGGACTTTTATTATATATACTTTTAATAGAAAGCCAAGAATCCTGTTAGCTTTATTTAAGAGAGAACTTATGCACTATTGATGTGGCTACAAATTTCTGCTAGTTAGAACTCCTAAATCCTTTTCGCATCTGTTTTGTTTTCCCTACTTATCCGACCACAACCTCAACTTATCCAGATCATCCTGACGCTTTCTAGTGTCCTTATCGGAAATTATTGGACGGCTTATTGTGTCAGCATAGTTGCTGATCCCTGTATTCCCAGTATTATATAGCATAGCATATTAGTATCATCCCTGTGCTTTAGACACGAGATCCCTCGTAAGCCTTTGGCTTTGTGTGACGTCATAGGCATACACATGGGCAGTGATCCCTTTGTCCCGCTCTCACTCGGCGGCAGACCTACAAGACGTGAACAGGCTTGGCACCGGGCTCCATCTCTCATCTCAGTCTGACAATATATCTACCATCCTACAAGTGTGTCTACTTTCAACCTGTGATATCTCCATTCAAGAACCCTTTACGATAAATGGTGACAGCGGTGAGCCTGTAATTCTGACGATTACAGCAATTTCTGGAGATAAAATTGTCGCCCAGCAAGACGGCCATTTCGTGTCCCCAGTGGGCCTATCGACTACCGAGGTTCACCCCATCCAGCTCCCCTCAAGCCAGTACTCTACCAGCTTCTACATTATTCACTGGTCAGTCTCTTTGTATTAGTGTTTCCTGCTTTTTTTGCATTACTCCCGAGGGGTTGCCCCGAGTTTTGCAAAATAAGCCAGTTCCAGTCTGTGTGGGGGGAGTCAGAAACACCCGAGCCCATCCAGCCTACCCTACTCCACCCAATTATTTTGCCTGCCAAGCCAGCTTCCACCCCTGCTGTGCTCATCGTGTGAAGTTATCAAGCTATTCTGTGTAAAGGGGTTTTAAGATAAGCCCAGCTAGCAACTAACCCAAGTGTCTTACCCAGTACTCAGGCAAGCCACGTGACTAGTCTTCATCGCTTGTGATTCAAGTTCCAAGCATTCTGAGTGCTCCTTCTCATCCTTTGGTGTTGTAGTATTTCGGGGTTTTTCCCTCCTAAAGCCAGCCGGCTTAGAATTATCTTCCGCGGCAGTGTGGGTTTTCTCAGTGAGGCTTACGACGTTCAACCATAAGCCCAGCCACTCACGATCACGTGTGTCGCATCATTGCCTTTCCCAGACGCCTCGCTCAGCCATCACCCACAAACCCAACTACAGTCGGCCTTTAAACAATCACCTACCTCATCAGTTTTTTGGTGCTCTGCAAAGGGGTTTTTGTAGCACCATATTTTTAAGGACCACATAGGGGGTCAGAGCTAGAGAGTGGCGCGCCATCTTTAAAAGCCTCCTATGTGTTGTCTCTCGCCGATTTAAGCGCAATTTTTACGATCATCTGTGCAGAGGACAGCAGCAAGACGATAAAAACAATCCATCAATCTCATTTTTTCAAGTGTTACAGCTATAATATTTTTTTTTAGAGACATTTGCGAGTGTTGAGACATTTCTTTTGTGTTCCCAGTGAATTTTTTCTTAGTGACATTCAGTGATTTCTTGATCAGACTCAGTGTTTATCATGTACTGATTCTATTAATTTCTTTTAATCTCCTTAATTCAGTGTTAATTTTCGTGTATTATTTTATATCTGTTGTGTTGTGTTTCTTTTTATACACACTTGAAGTAAGTACTTAGTGTTTCCTTTGTTGTGTGTGCAACATATGAGCAGTATAGAACTTGTGTTTAAACTTCAGAATTCCAGTGAATTAACTCAGTAAATTTTTCCCCTCATATTCTGCATCACAACTCAGTGTTGTCTGTTATTTTTTTTTTCTTCTAGCAATTGTGTTTTTTTGTTTGTTCCCTGTGTGTTGAACATTCTTGTGTTCATATTTTTCCATTCAGCCAGTGTTTAATTTGTCTTATTTCCACAGACAATAGTGCCTTTTTTAAAAGCTCCACCCAAGAAATCTGTTTAAAAAATTTTTTTTAAAAAACATCAAGTTTCATTGCAAGAAATTCGTACTGAGTTTATGTTGATGTTTTGTGCTCTGCATCACTGTAAGTGTTGTATTTCTTTTGTTGTGTGTTTTTTAACCTATTATTTTTCATATTTTATTGAACAAATTCACTCTTAGTGCAATTTTTAAGTTCTCCTTTTAAAGTAAATTTTTCTTTTGCTTGTTTGTTTAAGTGCAGTTAAGAGTTAAAGTGTTCATTCCTTGATATATTTTCTTTTTTGTGTGTTATAATTTTTATTATTGCACATTGACTCTTTTTGCAATACTTCTTGTGCAATATTGTGTTGCTATTAAAGTTTTTCTTGCAGAAAATTTTATGCAGTGTTGTGCAATACAGTTTATTACAGTGCAGTTTTTTATGCTCTGTTCTGTGCATAGTATTTATTCTGTCTGTCATTTTATTTTTTTTTTAATTTCAGGGGAATTGTGTGTTTGTTTTAATTTTTGCACAAGTTTATTGAGTCCATTTTATTATTTTATTGGTATTTTCCTTGTTGCATTGAAAGAAAAGACAACTCACTGTGCCATTTATTCAATTTAAAGTAAAAGTTGACATATTAGATTTGAGCAAAGTACAAGCTCTCTTGATTTCAGTGTTTGCTAAGTTGCATTTTCTTCTTGTGTGAGTTCTTTGCTTACTGTGTAACTTGTCAATTTTTAATTACTTATGCAGAATAGTTAAGCATTTTCTTCCATTTAAGCTTATTGTGTCATTCTCTCCACTTTTCTTGACTTTATGCCCTTTCAGTATTTTCATGAAAAAGATGTCCCAGTCATTTTGAATGTTCACTTAGTGTATCATTCCAGTCAAAGTCAATATGAATCATCCACAGTACCAACTTTCCCCTTATTTGACTGAAAGACAATACCTACCCCTTGAGCAATGTGTTTGTTCTCACAGCTTGTATCTGAGATTTGTTAAAGTGCTGCGAAATGTGAAGTTCAGTTTTAAGTTCCTATAGATCCGTGAATTACTTATTAACGTAGCCGAGCGGTCAGGCACTAGAAATTCTGTCATTTCCCATCTGTGTTCCCCTATACCTTCAGACTTGCAGGATAGTGTTCCGTTGCCTCAAGTGTCCGGGACACTCAGACTGCTTGAGTGCACAGCCTATCCCTGCAATGACTGCTAGTTCGAGTAGTAGGGTTTTTCCACAGGGGATGCCTTGTCAGATAACGATTTCTTGCAACTAGTAATGCCATTCTTGTTGATTTGACTGCTGTCTGCAGAAAGACGTCTCTGTTACAGCTAGTGTTCTCACTAGAGTGTCTGTTGTTGTATGTTCAGATGGGGATCCCATCCTATTGACAGTAATCAGTGCATTGTAAGAAGTTATTTCTCGAGTAACTTTCACATGTTAACGTTTGTAAGTGTAGTTTCTTTATAGCTGAACCTCGTGTCACTGTGTGCGACTCAGATTGAATTTTCAGCTTGTTCACCGTGGTTCATTTCTTTCTCCCGTGCTTTCAGTTGAGTAGTAGATTCGTTCTCCCTTTTCTCATATTGCGTGTTATAGCGTTAATTTTTTTCAACCGGGGGGAGTCACCGAGTTTGTTCATTCCCCCAGTAAGGAAGAACTGTTACCTTTATTCCAGAACAAACAGCCTACTGGAAGGTTAGCCAGATGGACCTTGACTATCCAAGAGTTCAATCCCACTTTTGAAAATTTACCTGGCAAGTTCAAATGTAGTCGCAGATGCTTTATCGCGACACGTTAGTGTAGTTACTGCAGATCCTCCTTTTACTGTCGAGGATGTCAAAACTGCACAAAGACAGATCCCTTGTTTCTGGGTGATTCGATTCCTGCTCCAGGAAGATCTTATTCTTTACTGTGAAGCCACCAGTACCCAAATTTGGACTTTGTAATGAGCCAAGAATTACTGTATCGAATAGTCGAGTTGAGTTTCTCCTAGCAGATGAATTATAATTCCACGTCACTAGTGATTGTAGTTGTATCTTTTGTAAATACTCGTTCAGCTCTCTCTCAGTCAAGGCATGTGTTAGGGCCCTTGCAGAGAATTCGATCCTCCCAGAGATGATAACCATTCTGCATACTAAACCTCACCCTCGCAGAATTGGGTTTAAGTGTAAACAGCCTGCATAATTAGATGTCCGAGATGAATGAAATTGTCAACTGTTGTTTATTATTAGCTGATCAGTTTTGTCAGAAAAATTTTTTGTTCACGTTCCCTCCTATTCTGAGAATTAACAGTCTAGATTTGTGTGCACCGAATCTGCCTTTTGTTAAACACTTTTTGTATATATTTATTCTTCCTCAGAATCCTAGAGTGCATAATACAGACGATCGATCAATTCCCTCCATATTGATAATGAATTGTTCTTATAGTTTGTTAAAGCATTAAAGTTAACACCCTCTATGTAATGTCCCTTATGATACCATCCATTAGTTCTAAGATATATATGAATTTGTTATTGTATAGAATCACCCAGATCCGCCTGCCTGTTCAGCCATAGAATAGTATGTATGTCGGGACGACATACGTAACATGACCGAGCTGTCGCATAGTTGCTGATCCCTGTATTCCCAGTATTATATAGCATAGCATATTAGTATCATCCCTGTGCTTTAGACACGAGATCCCTCGTAAGCCTTTGGCTTTGTGTGACGTCATAGGCATACACATGGGCAGTGATCCCTTTGTCCCGCTCTCACTCGGCGGCAGACCTACAAGACGTGAACAGGCTTGGCACCGGGCTCCATCTCTCATCTCAGTCTGACAATATATCTACCATCCTACAAGTGTGTCTACTTTCAACCTGTGATATCTCCATTCAAGAACCCTTTACGATAATTGTAGTGTCTTCGGCAAACTTGTCAGGTGCGCCTATATACACATACGAACTTATAAGAGGCCAGAATAATCACCCTACCAGTTCGCTGAGATAACGTGACTATCAGGGAACTGTTTTATCAGTGGATAGTGAGGACGTCTTTATCAGCGAAGAAATTACGCACAGCTGAAGTGTAGCACCACACGACACCATTGGAGACGAGTAGCTCTTGTATTTTACTCTGTATTGTGATGGAAATTTAGAACGATGAACTGCGAAGAAGTGCAGATGGAGACCTTCTGGAGTAGTGTGCTGGTGAGTGGAGTTTGTTCGTGAGTAAAGGCAAGTGAAGCAAAGTATTTTGGTTAGCAAATATTTGTTGGTGAGTGGGGTTTGTCGATGAGGGGAAATTTGTTGGTGAGTTTGATAATGAGAAGAAGCAAAGAAAGTGGTGCTGCCCCTCCCAGTCCATTAATGTGTAATAATAAAAATAATTACACCATTTTCAGTTCCACAATATTTCTCATGTTTAGGCTACCTGCAGGCAGTCTCTCATGTTTAGGCTACCTGCAGGCAGTCAAGCCTCGGAAACTGCCTTCCTCGTGTCTCCGCTACAGATATTAAATTTACTTTGCATTAGCTGATTTAGGATTTTATACATGTGATCTAATAATATAATCAAATTAAGCGCTAAACGCGAGAGGGTCACAGAGGAGGGATGTAGGAAAAAAGGAATGTGCAAAGGTGATGAAGGAGTGATGTACTGGAGTGTGCGAGGGTAGGGGTTAGTAGGGGTAAAGCAGGATGCAAGTGGAAAAGTAAAATAATAGTGGGTGCAATATGTTAGTCAAAGAGAATCTATGTCAAAGGTGGAACTTTTATGAAGGTCGGGGAGAGTTAGTGTGCCGGGGGCAGCTATATTCCTGATCTAATATTTCAATAAATGACAATATACAAATAAAATATCACTATAGCAACAAATATCATTGTAGGAAGAATAAAAATAACAAATGAGTATTGATCCGAATAATGTATTGCCTACAATATTGACAAGCATTGTAGAATATTAAAATATAATAAAAATATATAATATATAAAAAATATAAATTTTTATAAATATATAAATATAAATATTTTTAAAAATATTAATATATATACATATATAATAATATAAAATAATATATATACAATATATAATAATAATATTTTTAAAATATATAAATTAATTTTAAAAAATATGTAAAATTTTAAAT